TGTCTGAGCGTATAACAGAGCTCTACAGCTATAATACTCCCAGTAATGTGTCTGAGCGTATAACAGAGCCCCACAGCAATAATACTCCCAGTAATGTGTCTGAGCGTATAACAGAGCCCCACAGCAATAATACTCCCAGTAATGTGACTGAGTGTATAACAGAGCTCCACGGCAATAATACTCACAGTAATGTGCCTGAGTGTATAACAGAGCTCCACAGTAATAATACTCCCAGTAATGTGTCTGGGTGTATAACAGAGCTCCACGGCAATAATACTCCCAGTAATGTCTGTAAACTACAATAAATGTGTTTGAAATCAGTCTGTCTAAATAAGATACATTGTTCTTCTAAATTACATTTTAGTTGCATAAATTGTTATTAGTAAATCACCCAAAATTTCTCAGAACAGCTCCTCCCCACTCACACCCCTAAAATAAATCTGTCCCATTAAAATGTTGTGAGGTATGTATTTATAAGACCATTTTACTCTTCAAGTTTGTCATTTGACTGTCTGTGATAATATTGATACATTTATCAAATTGTTCCTCTTATCTGTTTTTGGTTATATTTTTTTTCACTGTATTTACCTGGATACAGGAATGGCCAATAACTGGAGGGGTATGGAACATTGGAACACAGACATATCCGGAAATTATTGTCACAGGGTAAGAATGATCTTAAGCTTCTAGATTAAATTTTATTTTTTTTACAATCTTTATTTAATTTTTTTTTGTTTTTCGTCAATGACAATGCAGGAACACGGAAAAATATAGGCCCTGTACACAAGAGAGATATAGAAGAAAATCCTACATACTTTTTATCACAGGCCAGTACTGAAAGAACCAGGCCTGTTGATTAGCACCAGAACAAACACAATAAGCTGTAGTTGTTCTGGTGACTATAGTGTCCCTTTAACGTTTTGCAAAATTTAAAAAAGATGGGGTAAAATAGCCAGTGGAGATAGCAGATGGGAAATAATAATGGACAATATGTGGGGATGGCTGATTGGATCAAGGGATGGATAAATATGTGGGGATGACAGATGGTGTAACGGCACCCCCAGGTATACAAAGGGTTAATGCCGTTTAGGATGTTCCCTTTCCGAATGCCAAGGCAGCTAACGAACACTCCAATCAGCCAAACAGGAATCATACGAACACTTCAAACAGCCGAACAGTAAATCCATACGAATAATTCCCCCCAAGTACGAGACAAGGCTCCGTACTGAGGGTCAAGTACTAAACTGGTTTAATGGGGCTAACCACCCGGTATTTATGCAGGTCTTCCACCAGGTGGACACTCCCCTAGGGGACCTGGTGGAAAACTGGGACAAAAATAGTACAGTAGCCAATCACAGTGTTACAGGCATGAACACTCCCATTTAGCTGTAAAAGACCCTCCTCTCTATCCTGGAGATAATTGGGAAGGAATTCAATTATCGCAGAGGATAGAGGCAAAACTCAATTTTATACATGACAGTGAAAGCCCATAAAAATACATAATAGGAAAACCACCGAATGCACTAGGTACAATTAACATAGCCCCAGATAGCTTAGATCTGAGTGCACATTATTACCGAATGGTGCTCAGATCACATACATACAGTTCAATCGCCATAGAGTTAAAGTCTTTCACATAGTCTTTCGTTATACGAATGGGCTCCATGGCATGGCTATCTGGGGTAAGTCCATTCGTGCAGAAGAGTACCGAACAGACCGGCATTCGTATGATGGAGAAATAGGAGAAGGGAGGTCGGCGGCTTCAGCGGTGTTCATGCAAACTAGTATCTGTTTTTAGTTCCATGAAATCGTCGATGAACACCGCTGGGCATTAGTATGTCCAAGATGGCAGCCACCTCGTGTTCGTTATACGAACGGCGACCACCCAGCCTACATTCGACAATTAAGAGGTGTCTGCGGTTAACCACAATATTCTAATCAGGCCAAGAGGTTAACCAGCAGCACACTTCCATGCTGGGTGGCCGGCTGTTCGGCAGTTCATTCAGTAAAATGAAGAATAAACGTAAGGGCTGTATGGACAAAGAACTAGCCGAACAAACAGACGAACCAAGCAGTTTAAAAGACAGAGAGGTCTGTCACAGATGGGAACAAAGGATGGACAGTATGTGGGAATGACAATGGGAGCAAGAGATGGACAAAATGTGGGGATGACAATGGGAGCACGGGCTGGACAATATGTGGGGGTTACAGATGGGAGCAAGAGATGGACAATATGTGGGGGTTACAGATGGGAGCAAGAGATGGACAATATGTGGGGGTTACAGATGGGAGCAAGAGATGGACAAAATGTGGGAATGACACAAGGGAAAACAGGATGGACAGTCTGGGAAATGACAGATGGGCAAGCGGGATATACAATATTTGGAGATAGCAGTAGGACAAACAGATATACAATATTTGGAGAAAGCAGTAGGGCAAGCGGGATATACAATATTTGGAGATAGCAGTAGGGCAAGCGGGATATACAATATTTGGAGATAGCAGTAGCGCAAACAGACAATATTTGGAGATAGCAGTAGGGCAAACGAGATAAACAATATTTTGAAATAGCAGTAAGGCAAGCGGGATATACACTATTTGGAGATAACAGTAGGGCAAACGGGATGGACAATGTGTGAGGATGACAGATGGGAAGACAGGATTAATAAAATGTTCGAATGGCAGATGGGAAAATGGTATGGACAATGTGTGGGGTAACATAGTTGAACAAGGGATGGACAATATGTTGGTTTCCTTCTAACGTTTTGTGTTCTGTGTTTTAGACATGCGGATGGCTCTGTCAAGTTTTGGGATGCCTCAGCCAGTAAGTACTGTCATGCATATTATGACAGGGTTTGATGTTACTCTCTAAACATTGTGCAATTTAAATTACTAAAGTACAGAGATCTAACCATACAGAGAAAAATTTTGATTTTCCAACTTCACACCCAGCATCCTCTTAACTAAAGCAATGACTATTTTAACTGTGCCAGGCAGTGGGGGAATCATTTACTGTTTACAAGTTAAGTATTTCTTATTATAATATCCTTAAAAACATATTCTGTTATTACTGTGTGCGGGTCTTGGCACCTTTTGAAGCAGCGTTTACCTTTTTGCCTGTTACAGCTGCCATCGAGACCTTGCACACTGAGTAACTCCCTTTATCTCATGAGTTTAAATATTCCAATTGTTTTAAAGCATATAATTATGTATTTATTGGTATTCTCCGTTCTGATATTTCCACCATTTTCCTGTATTCAACTACACAATTCCATGTCAAAATGCCCTCGTTCACTCCCCTCTCAGAATACCCATTTATTATATTCTGCTATTTTTTAATTCCTCTCTGTGGCTTGTTTATGTGACATTTATTTATTATTTGTCGTGACATCAATCATCTCTTTAATGTGCTGTCAGCAGAAAGCCAGTGCTATTCT